CACAAACATTCAGTCCATAGCACCTGCCCCTTCACAGGGGTTTTTGAGGGGCTTGGATGGAAGACACACCGACATCCCTGTGAAATTAATGTGTACTTGGTAGGTTGTGTGCGTCTGTACATTTTTATTGTGGTTTTTTTTTTTTTAAATAGATTTTATTGATTTTTTACAGAGAGAAAGAGAGAGGCATAGTGAGTTAGAAACATCGATGAGAGAGAATCATTGATCAGCCGCCTCTTGCACACCCCCCACTGGGGATGTGCCCGCAACCAAGGTACATGCCCTTGACGGGAATCAAACCTGGAACCTTTCAGTCCGCAGGCGGACGCTCTACCCACTGAGCCAAACAGGTTTCGGCTTTATTGTTGTTTTACCTTCAGGAGGAAACCAGGGAGAAAGACAAGCACGACTCAGCCGGCTCAGCTTCTCAGGGAGCCTGGTTACATCTCCAGAGAAGAGTGAGCCTCCAGCAAGGAGATACTGGCCAGGGGAAGCAAGAAGACATTTGCTCTTTGCTCCCCGCCATCAATTCCTCCTTCGGATGATGAGACCGAAGTCTGAGCCAACCACCATAGCCCGTTCCCCTGGCCACAGGTTTTGACTCAGGAGTGGGAGCTTGACCCCTGGTGTCTAATCAGGGTTTCAAGGACGTTTGTGGGAACTCATCTTTCCTGATGGTTTCTCACCAGAGAGATGGGTTCGAATGCACATTCTTTATGTATCTGAGTCTTCACAAGGGCAGGAGTTTTGCACTTATGCTAAGGCTGCTGCCTGGAACATACATGTATTATAAGTATTTGCTAAGAAACATATAATGTAATTTTGAATCCCTGTATCCCGTCATGCCTGTAGCCAGGGCTATTGTCTGAACTCTATAGTTATATAAGCTTATACATTCCTTCTTTTGCTTAAACCATCTTGAGTCAGATTATTTATCGATTGCAATTTAAAGAGTCTTTTTAAAATTTATTTTTATTTAATTTATTTTTAAATATGTTTTTCAATTGATTTCTTAGAGAGCAAGAAAGAGAGAGGGAGGAGAGAGAGAGATAGAAATATTGATCAACTGCCTCCTGCACGCCTCCACCTGGGAACTGAGTCTACAACCTGGCCTTGTGCCCTGACCACAAATCAAACCAGTGACCTCTTGGTGCATCGGTCAATGGTCACCATTGGGCCACATTGGCCAGGTTATTTTTATTTTTTAAAATTTATCTTTATTGTTGAAAGTATTAAAGATGGCCCCCTTTTCCTCCATTGACACCCCCTGACACCTGCCCTCCCCCCCCATTTCTTCACTGTACGATTGTTTGTGTCCATGGGTTAGAGGACATGAAATGAAAGGCAAGGGCCTGGAGAGTGAGATGGGAGTATGGGGGGTGTGCGGGGCTGCGCACGGAGCCTTGCAAAGCCCAGGGCAAGAATATTGGGAAGGTGTGGGCCCTACTTCTCAGCCAGTCCTGCTGTCGATGGTGCATTCTTGGCTGTCCAAGCCCAGCCTGGGATTCAGGATGGGCTCCCTGTGCCTGAAGGCTCCTGGCCCGGCTCTGCATGGGTCATGCCCTAGGCCAGTGGTCAGCAAACTGCAGCTCGTGAGCCACATGTGGCTCTTTGGCCGCAAGAGTGTGGCTCTTCCACAAAACACCACAGCCTGGGCAAGTCTATTTTGAAGAAGTGGCATTAGAAGATGTTTAAGTTTAAAAAATTTGGCTCTCAAAGAAATTTCCATCATTGTACTGTTGATATGTGGCTCTGTTGACTAATGAGTTTGCCCAGCATTGCCCTAGGCACAAAGCAGCTCTCTAAGTCCTTTAAGAAAGCACTAGGCACCCAGGGTGATGGTGACCCTGCTCTGGGGGCTGCAGCAGAACCACCCACATGGGAAATCAGCCCCCGCCGTGGACAGACCCCTCAGCCATGCGGGTCCTGGGTGAGAGTGTGCTCGCCCAGCTCAGCCTGTCTCCACCACTGAGACACAGGTCAGGATGCAGGTCACGCTGTTTTAGGCGGGAGGGTTCTCTTCCTGTAACTCTCCAATTGGGTTTCCCTCCTCTCCCGTGGCCTTACAAATAAAAACATAATAATAATGAGAAAGTCATGTCTGCTGCTTTTATTGTGTCATGCACGGTGACTCTTAAGTAGTTATTCTTATTATTCCCATAAAACATGAGGAAAGGAGGATGCAGAGAATGCAGCATGCCGGGGTTCAGATAGGAATGGCAGGACTGGACCCAGGACATGGGTCCATCTGAATCTGGCACCCCAGTTTTTAACTACTGTGCTAATTTCACTTGACCTAGAGAGCACTGGGGGACGTGTGTGTGTGTGTGTGTGTGTGTGTGTGTGTGTGTGTGTGTATGTCTGAGCCCACATGTGTGCACAAGCGTGGACCCCTCCAAGCTCTAACTCTGGCACAGGCAGATTGGTAGGGTCCCCAATGGTGGTTTTGATATTCCTCCAAGGGTGGCATTGGCATAGCTGGGGTTTCCCATGGCCCTCCACCTGCTGACAGGTCAGTGTGAGCGACTGTGCAGGCACTGACTTTTAGAACTAAATCATGGAGGTTGTGTTGGATCCCTTTGCCATCTTCTATGGGGTCACTACTGACACCCACACTTAAGGGAAGGGCACACATTCACACCATGGAAGGTGAAGACCATGGGGAGTCACTGAGGGGAGAACCGGTGACCCGAGAGGTCCATGCCTTCCCCAGGATCACAGATGGCCAGAATGCAGAGCCTGAGATAAACCCAGCTGTGTGTGCTCAAAGTTGGGGTCCTGGCTGCACCCAGGTTTCCTCAGGGGATCTGGAAAAGACTGTGCAGGTAGAATCATGTACCAAACTAGAGATGGTATGGGGAGAAGGTGAGGATTCAGTGGCCTAGACAGGCATCGGCCAGTATTTGTTTGAAAAGGAGTCTAGATCTGGAACCACGGAAATGAACCACTGTTCCTGGATGGGCTGTGTGGAGAGATCTGGGCCCTCTTACTGCTGAGCTCACATTACCCAGTCCTAAATCATACATACTCCCATTGGATAATTGGGAAACTGAGGTCCATAGACAGGCAGGAACTGCTCAGGGTACATAACATTCAGAGTCCAGAGTTCAGGAATGTTCAGACCTCCCAGGCCAAGGCTCCTATTTTCCCCACAGAGTTGGTTTGAAAATTAGAAATCCTGACATACTGGGCAGCTCCTGCCTGTTCACCCCCATTTTGTTCTGGGATCCAGAAAGGGAGCAACACACACGTACACACACACACACACACACACACACACACACACAGAACCTAGATGTGTGTAATGACTTTGGGGGGATTAGAAGAGGTAAGAATGAGGGGTTGAGTCTGAGTCCAGGTCTGTTTCCTCAACTCTGGGACCGTGGCTGCACCCAGAGCTTCTAGGGGGCTGAGGGTGTGTTGGTACCTCTGTGTGTAGATCAGGTGTTTCACGGAGAAGAGGGGTCTGCAAACAGTGACCCACAGGACTATGTGCATAGCTGTCATGAGATGAGGGAACTGAGGCAAGACAATCCCAGGTACTGAGGTCACTTCCCAATAGAACTTGGAACCCCTGTAACCAGGCACCCACATCTAGCAACAGCCCAACAGGCAGCTCACTTGCCACGAGGCATTTGCCAGTGCAAGATGTTCTCTCGCTGTGTTCCCAGTGATTGGTGCTCTTACTTCCAGAGACCCCACAATGAGAGCTTTTCCAGATGGTGCAAACTTGGCCATTTTCTAGAATATGGCCTCAGGTAACAAAAGGTGGCCTGGGTCAGACCAATCCTGGCTAGGCCACCTCTGTGCGCCATCCCTGTGCAGCCCACATCCCTGGGACAGAAAGAGGTTGCTGGGTCTCAGATAACCTAGCAGTCCTGTCATGGTGACACCCCAGGGCAGGGCAGGCAGGTGGAGATGGGGTCTCTTATCTGTGCCAATGGGCAACCTAGGCCCTCAGGCTGTCATAGCTTTTCTTCTCCTGTGGAGGTCTGAGCTGATCACACTGTGTGTGTGTGTGTGTGTGTGTGTGTGTGTGTGTGTGTGTGTGTCTGGAGTGGAGGGTCACAGAGGCAGAGATCCAGCAAAATAGGGCTCTGAGGCTTCCCCCCTGGTGACTGGGAACTGTCTTTACAGAGCTCCGCACAGGAGAAAAGAGAGGAGCTGACAGAAGGGGTCCTCAACTCCATGACCCTGCAGGAGGCACAGGTGGCCCCCAGCATGCAGCACTGCCGCAGGGTGAGTGCAGGTGCTGAGGTGACCCAGACCCCAGGAACTCATGTAGTCAAAGGGGCCCTTGGGTTTGGGAAGGCTCCCTGCTACTTCCCTAGATCCCTCCTGGGTCCCAGTTTCTAAAGGATTCTGGGTCCTTGTCTCCTCCCCAACCCACTCTCACTGTTCATCCTCTTTCAGATGAGTTCAAAGTCACTGTCCACAAAGTTTTGAGAATATCAGAAGATAGACTTTGTACCATTTTACTTCATGCTCAGTCAAGAGTATTTTTTCATTTTTCTACAGACTTTCCCTTTTAAGGCCTGTGTCCACGTGTCCATGTTGTCCTGACAATCCTTACACACCTTCTCTCACTCTTACACATCAAGGTGATTAGTGGGGATGCTTTGCCCAAAAGGAGGTGGAGCTCAAGGTACCAAGTCTGTTGCTTTGCCCTTTGCTTCCCCAAGGATCACATCCCCATGGACTTTCCTGGTCAGGAGCTGGGGCCTCCCTGGGCTGACAACATACCAGGAGGGCGACCTGTTATCAGGGCTGGCGATCCATCTCTTCACTGCTGTGGAACCTGGATATGATACGTCCTGTTGCCATGTCAACAGTGCTGCCCTGAACACCCCACTTGTTCTAATATCCAGACCCTCCCACCCAGAAAAACCTCTGTGTTCTCATCTTAGAATGGGATGTTCTGTCAGAAATCCTAGGGTGACCTTGTTAACATAGGGAGGTGCTGTCCGTCCTCTGCTAAGAAATGACTAACGCCCTTTCCTGTGCCCTTTTTAAGGTTGACTGAGTGCCTTAAGAGGCTAACACAGAAGGGTACATGAAGCAAGTCTCCATAAGACCCAGAGAAGAGGTGGCAAAACTCCTCTCTGGATCCTGTCTGGAGTCACAGCTAAAAAGAAAGAAAGAAAAAAAAAAAAAAAAAAAAAAAAAAAGAAATGACTAAGATAGGAATGTGTTTCATCAGTCCCCAACTACAATTCTACTTTTCCTGTCAGGAACACTTTCTCTTCTCAATAAAAGAAACATTCAAACCTGACAATTGCCAGGAAGCCAAATCTTAATGGATGGAGATAATGCTCTGGAGAATGGCAGTTTTGCACCTTATTTTAGACATTGCAATCCAAAGAGGAGACATATGTAGTCTCCATAAAATCCACTGGTGATAGATTAGGGAGCCAGGAAAAAGCAAAGTAGGGGAACATCCGGGATTGGAGGAACAGTAAAATGGTAGACACGTAATTCTTTCACTTGGGTGTGTGCAGGGTAGTTAACAGTCAACAACAATAAGGGGATATGTGTGGTCCTGTGATTTGGGGGTGGGGGGTCTGAATAAAGGGCAATTCCTCTGACATCCCAGAGATATTGTATTGTAGACACCAAGAAACAATAGACAGGCTCAGCTAAGGTAAAGATTGACCTTTGTCAGGAAAGATGCCTGCCTAGGACGTGACTGCCCACCATAAACTGCTCTTGTTAAAAGTTTTCATTTCAGACCATCCTTTGTAGTTACTTTAGGTCTCTGAGTTTTCAAGAACACCACACAGGCCTTCCCTGAGCTAGTCAGAGAGCATATGATCATTTTTTGCATACACTGACTGTCCTTGGATCACTCATGTCCCACCTCTTGCCACCAAATCACAGAGTGCTTAAGGGTTCAGTCTGAGTTGATGCCCCCAACCCACCTGGCAGTTCATGAGCTGCCTCTGACGGCATGTCCCTCCTCTGTCCCAACACAGGAAGAGAAACCATCAACCCTGAGTAGTAATAAGACCTCTATGGTGCCTGCAGCTGCAGCTTTGAGGCTGCCCATGAGCCTGGCCAACATGCCCACCACCGTATGCACGCTGGTGCCCTTGAACCTCTTCTCTACCTGGGAGGTGGACTGCTCCAGCCTCAACTGCATGCCCAGATTGTGCAGCCTGACTGTAAAGAAGCTGCTGATTTACAAGGAACTGGAGAGGGAGCTCATCACTGGTGATATCCATGAAGATGCAGGGCTGCAGGTGCTTCTTTTGGTCCAGGGAGATTGTGCTGCCCCCAAGTGGACAGGTAGAGACCGACCTGGCGCTGAACTCCCTGCAGTACCCCCACTTCCTAAAGAGGGAAGGAAACAAGCTGCAGATCATGCTGCAGCAGAGGAAGTGCAATAACAAGGGGACCACCCTGGTCTACAATTCACTTGCTGTGGGTGCCATTGACATGGCTGAGGTGACGCAGCGACCCCTCGAGGGTGCCCAGGTGCTGAGTTCAGCATCATCATCAAAGGGTCCTCCACCTTGGAGGTGGAGGTCAGCATCTCCTCCCGTTCAGTCATTCCATCAAATACAAGGACAGCGCCATGCATGCTGGCTCCAAGGCCAAGTCCAGAGTTCATTACTCCGAAGGGAAACGTGAGAACTTCTTCTCTGAGCAGGAGGCCAGGGATGATGCTGTGCAAGGACAGGAGCTGGACAAGGATGACATCAATGTGGAGAAGCCCAAGAAGCAGTGGCCAGTGATGATAAGAATGATGTCCATGACCAGACATCAGTACATCAAGGAGAAAGTCGTGGCTTGACTAAACAGGGTCAAAGTGTCAGAGGAAGACCTGGACCCAGAGCAGGGCCCTGTAGATCATGTCCCCGAGTGGAGGAGGACCTGCACCTTCTGTCTGACATGCTGGAGAACCAGTGACAGTGACTCAGACAGAGAATATGATGACAGCCTTCTCAGCACCAACAAGCCCAAGCTCAGGCCATACTTTGAAGGCTTTTCACATTCCAGCTCAAACAGGAACATCACAGTGCCCAGAGCCAGGAGGAGCCTCCAAGTCTGGCCTACATGACCAAGAAGATGTGGGCCTCAAACTGCAAGCAGCCAAGAGATGTCTTAGATTCGGTGCCCCACAAAATGCTCACCCAGGGGAGCAGCCAGCAGAGCCCAAAGACAGCCAGGAGGCAGAGACCTCAGCCCTGGACATACTCACTAAGAAGCTGCTGCCCAGTGGGCTCATCACCAAGACTGAATCTCTCATCATCCCCTCCACCAAGGCCATGGGGAAGCATCCGGCCACCATGGCTGAGGCAGGCACCTGAAGGAGCGACAGACGGCACAGCCGCAGAAAAAGAGGCCAACAGCCTCAATGAGTACTGCCAGACCCAGGGAGCCAGCGGCAGATCCCCAGAAAGATCAGGTGCAACCAGCTGAACCACGTCCTCATCTCTGATGACCAGCTGCAAGAGAACACCTTCCTCCTCAACACCTCCAACCATTAGGAGCAGTTCCCCTCGGACACCCTGCAGGGGCACACGCTACCTTGCTGTGCACCTGCTCCCCTGCTGATGTCCTGGTGGCCTTCAGCTCCATCATCTGGCGGATACAGAGACACTGTCACTACAATTCCAGTCCCTGGAGCCGGTGAAGATCCTGGTGGCAGGGGCACAACTACTTCAGCGCTGTGCTGCGCATCTTCCTGGAGCTGCTGTCCTATAAGGTGCTCCACTGGCTGGGCTACATGCACTTCCTGGTCATCCCGCTGGGTTCCCACCCTGTGGCCAGGCACCTGTGCTCCGTGCATTACCACAACAATAGCTTCTTCCAGGACCTGGCCTGGCGGGACCTGTTCCACAAGCTGGAGGCCCAGAGCGCCATGCAGGATACACTGGACATCGTGATGAGAATCACACAGTACATCACGGGGCCAACTGTGCCTTCCAGCTGCCCATTGAGGAAGCCCTGCTCTCCGACAAGCAGAAAAGTCCCCAAGAGGAGTCCTATGGTTCATTCCCTTCAGGGCAGTGGGTGAAAGTTGGGATAGTGCAACAGTCCTCAGACATGTCAGGAGACTCAGATAAGGGGCCCCCTTGGGCTGCAGCGTGCTTTCATCCATCCTCTGTCCATACCTCTGGTCGCCAAGGAGGCCTTGTCACTCCACTCTGCTCCCCTTTAGTGAGTGGGGTTTGTCCTCTTCCAGCCAGGGCGATGGCACCAAGCTGATGGAGGAGCTGATGGATTACTGGACAGCAGCCCAGCCCACAGACAAGAAGAGAGACTCCAGGAAGAAAAACCTGCCTACTGCTGACAACACCCTCAAGTGCACCTCCTACTCTCTCCGGGTCAGCAGGTTGCACAGCAGGGGGGAGGCCACAGCAACACCCACCGTCCATGACAGGGCTCACCAAAGAGAAGAAAAAGAAGGTGGTGTTTTTGCTTAAGAAAACCAAAGACAATGTTGTAGTGTCCAAAAGCCAGTGCCATGGAGGGCATAAGCCTCCTGATCTGCAGGGCCAAACACCAGCAGAACATGCTGCGGGTCCTCATCAAAGGTGTGGTGTGGAATGACATGAAGTTCTTCCATCTGGCAGCCCAGGGTCCTCCCACGACCAGCACTTCCCCATCTGCATCTCCAGACGCTCCGACTCCACCTTTCAGCCCTGCCTGTGGCCCTGCTGATGCCAAGCTCTGGAGGCCCAGTTGCTTTTCTGTGAATGTTTCAGTTTAGTACAGAGACCGAACCTGGAAACACAAAGAGAAACCTTCTTAAGCACAAATGTGCTCACAACCTGTAAACTATTGTGGTGGTCCCCAGTGGGAGTCCCCAGTTGCTGATTACCCAGAACTCTGGTGGTGGAGGTCAGGTGGGCAGTGCTGAGCTGGAGACTCATCAAAGGTGAGTTTGGCCTCGGGACCCCTAACACTCTCAGCGAGAAGGGTTCTCACCTTCTCCACCTGTCCTTATTGGGAGCCAGGACTCCTTCCCCACAGGACTCAGAGCTGGTGGTCAGATGCCAAGGGCTGGCCTCCCAGTGGGGGTGTCCTGAGCAGAACACGGAGGCCAGTCAGCCTAGCCCTGGGCCCCAGCTGCCAGCCAGCCCAGTGGCCCCAGCACCACCACTCGTGGTTCCCAAAAAACTCCAGCCTCACAGGGAATAAAGAAAAGGACCTATACAGTGCACACTACCAGACACACCAGCTGGACAAACTGAGCAGTGACTCCACTTTCATCCTCACCCTTCTGTGTTAATTCAGAACATGTGCTACTTACCAACATGTGTGGGACTAACCATGTACCAGGTGAGCCATGCCCCTCCACAGCAGTGGCCACTCAGCCATCTGCTTACTGTGAGTCTTCAGGTCACTGCATCTCTCTGAGTGTTTAGTCCTCTGAACATGGGGAGAACAGAGGCCCAGCCTCATAGGGTTCTTGTAGAGACCAGGGGGAGAGGTCTTCCCTAGAAAGTGTTGTCTGGGTGCCTAGACAGTGGAGAGGTGTGCTGGAGGGCTGTGGTTGAGCTAATTGACCATTTTCTCTTTCTCTGTTGAAGCCTCTGCCTCATTTCTGACTCTCCTCAGGGCTTTGGGCTAAACTATTTTCTCTTTAGAATCTAAAGTTTAGATAAAAAGACTGGAGATTCTATGAAGTGTCCCTGTCCTGGGTCAGCCCCTTAGAAAATTCATACCTACCCCTGCCTGCACCCCTATCCAGGGATCCTGCTCACTAATCTGGTAGAACCTCTCAGTGGCAGCTTGGCAGGTGTACCCCACCCTGTGGAGTGTCAGTGGGAGGAGAACCCTACAGGACAGCTAGTGAATTAGGCAGCATGTAGGTGCAGGAGCCAAAGCTTGAGGTGTTATGTGGGCCACGGGAAGCCAGGTCTGGAGACTAAGTTTGTTTGTTCGTTCATTGACCATCTATTCCTGGAGCACCTACTGTGTGCCAATGAGTGACATGAACAGGGAGGACAACAGCCTTCCCTGTCCTCATGGAGTTGACATTTTGGAGGGAAGGTAGTGGGAGGGGACAGGGACACTGAGAGAGCATGTCAGGTTCCCCTGAAGAAGGGGGCAGGTAGTTCCCTCATTGATCCAGAGCTGTCAGTTAGGAGTGCTTTCTGCCAGCCTCTCCTGGGTGA